AWWRGKTKRRGGRAAAAAAATCACAAAAAATCTCATAAATAACCCTGTAGGTACAACTTAAGTACCCGTATTATAGAAACTTAGTGCCTACCTAATAAAAAACAAAACGGAACAGAACTGCCGGGTCTAGGGAAACTTCCTTCATTAATCAAAAAAGCTGTGATAAAAACAAAATTAGAAATACTTATTTAATTTTTGTTTTTCGTTGTCTTAGATTAAAACGGCCAAATATTGCTGGTTTGGTTTTTTTTAGTTTCTGTATACGTATGTTAGACAATTTATTTAACAGCTCTGTTTGAAAAGTAGCCTATGTATAACTTTTATTCAACGTATTTTCCACTTTTACGACCCAGGGAAATAAAATATTCCTAATAATTACAACAATCGTGTTTATTAAATATTACATTTTAATAATAATTAATACAAACTGTTGTTACGTACGTGCTACTATACTAGACAATTTTCGCAGTATTTGATTTAAGTAAGTAAAAAAAACTTTTTTTAGGTAAAATACATTTCTAAACAGCTTCCAGGTTTTGATACCAATGTATTAATATTTTAAAATTGTTGATTGAATCAGAATATCGATATTTATTACTTAATATTTATTTATTTATTTATATTTATTATTAATATATATTTTTCAACTAAAGGGAAGTAGATAACAAACCTTGTAATATGCAACACACAATCTCTATCTAAATTATATGTGACATGTATTTTGTGTTGTATCTTATTTTTGTCAAGAAAATAACAGAGTTTGTAATTGTAATTAGGTACACCTTTCAAGATTTAAGAGAGTAACGATATAAACGTTTGATTTAGTACATATGTACTACATTTTTAATAATATTTTTTTACACATACTCGTATTTTAAAAAGGTAACACTTTATTTTATTTATCTTTTAAAACGATATTTACGAAAAAATTACGTTTTTCATCCAATTTTAAATACTTGGTGACTTTTCTGTAAAATTTTTTCCATTTTGAATAATTTTATTTCTGCATCTGCATTTCCATTCATCATAAATTTGTCAGAGAATCAAAAGTTTTCACTTTCAATGCAAAATAATAGTTATTTATTGTAAGAGAGTGTTAGGAAGCGTTTTATCCACGCAAGAATGTTTAACCGCGAGAACGCCAGTTCCTAACACACGACTGCAATATAACTTTTTATCCACAATCACAGGCCCAAATTATTCCAAACTTAATTAAAAATTAAACTGACATTTAATTGTCACGCCAAATGTGCTTTCGGTTAAACGTAGTAAGCTGTTACGCGGTGTGCTGGTTACTAACAGTGGAATAAAGTTACTTTATTCCACTAGTAGATAAAGTGGTACTTGATACGCATCTAAAGTGTGGAATAAAGTCTCTTTATAGAGTGATTGTGGAAAAAAAATAAAAGAACTTTTGTAAAAACCAGCCATAAATATTGTTATTATTAGAAACACATAAGTATATTAGTAAGTACACCTATACCATATTTCTAATGATAATGATATTTTTTTAGAATAATTTTCCCAAAATTTACTTACAAAAATAAACTTATATTACTATATGTTATTACAAAGTTTTAGTTTTGTTACCGTTGGATCTATGATAAAATTGTTTTATTTGCATAATGTCAAACGCTTTAGATGCTTTGTGATTCACACTTATCATTTGTGATTTTTGTTAAATTTTAAATAATGACATTCGTAGTTATCTAAATGCGTACTTCTAGTAGATTCACATTCTATAGTAGTAAGTGTTACACCTATTTCCAACGCATAAATATTAATAAACACAAACACCGCTTAATCATAATAATTGATAATAATCATGCTGCAACTGATCCTCACATTTACTTTTTAACGTTGTACACCAAGTTGTTAGCTCTCCGGGTACAAAGTAACTCTTTTTGAGCAAAATGAAGTGTTGCACAACATTATTAGGTATATCCTGCAGCAGTAAAACTATCATATAAACAAATTACCAACAAGCTCGTAGTCATCTAGATTTAGATTAGAAACTGACAAACAATTTATTAAGACATCTCACCAAAGAAATGGTAATAATAATTAAATGTTGGCTAATTTAAAAAAAAATAAATTAATGTAATTTTTATATTGTGTCTCGAGAGGCAAACAGAAATAAATAAAAAACGTGATTTATGCACGAATAGAAATAAAACTAATAAAAGTTCAACTACAGCGTTTATAATGTATTCTGTACCCATACCTATGTGTAAATCAAGATTCCTCATTAAGCGGAAAACTTTTTTTTCCTGCTAAATGTCAACGAAATCGATTTTCACGTATTTTGTAAGTTAGGAGATGACTAAAAATTTAAGTCTTGAAAAGCACTTGATTTATAAAATAAAAAAATAGTAATTACTCATAAGTTAATATAATTGTGGTTATTATAACATTAATTATTTTSAAAGTTTGTAATCCCAACAATTGGGCCTGTTATTTACATAATARTAAGAAACTRCATTATAAAGTTATTTTAATTAAATAATAAAAAGAAGGACCTTCACATTTGCTATCTCCTTCGGTGYACTTTGCATCATTATGATAAGACATCGCGAAAATTTCTTAAATATCAGACACTATAAAAAGTAGCAAATTATCTGAAGAATGCAAATTGTTCTACCAAAAACATATTAYAATAGAGTTAACTAATTTTAATACCAGCGGCACCAAAAYTCATTTACATMGGTACCGGTAAATTAACAAAATCGCGAGCTTTCTCTCGGACTAATATCAATGTCATTTCATTAATGTGACATAATAATTTCACACGTTGATTCCAGAGATTGATAAAATGACGATTATCGATAATAGAATGCTGAAGAGTTTATATTTACCCGCTCTGAAGCTAATAAGTCACGTTTATAAATGTCAATGCCATCACCTGTCTCTGTTATTAAAGCAATTTCTTAGAAGATGTTTTGTGGAAACAGTTAACTTTTTCCATATTTCTTTTCACGGAATGAAAAAACATTAAATTAGTAGAAATGACTACTAGTACTAGAGATGTAACACCGATGAAAGAAATGCAGAAAATTGTGCAACCGAAATTGGTGCCAGACTASTCTTTAAATCTTTAATTTATTAAACATAATGCATTTGTTGTCGGTTYAGATCGTTGCAAATCAAGCGACCACATTAACACCAATCGATTTTCTCTTAAAAATATAATAAATGACCTACTCTTATTTGCAAATCTCAGCATTTAAAATTTGTTTGAACGTTTTCCAAACCTCGAAATTATTACAGAACATGACTTTCCAGATTCTTGAATTAGTCTAATTTCATCTAAAGGTTATTAGTACGAATAGTATATGTTTTTGCACTTTTAAGGCAAAATCGCCTTAATTTTATACAGTAATTTTTAATATTCACCTTTGTTGAGACATCAAAGAAGAAAAATTTATATATTCGTGCTATAAATTCAAGTTTTGCGTTTATTCTTCACCTATAACATTATAAATTTGACCTACGAAAGTATAAGAGTAAAAACAATAGATTTCCAATGAAAGAATACCTAGTGACGATTTTACTATTATTTTTATTCTTTATTCTGTATTTCAAGACAAATAATAATTTATCGCCAATTGTTTTCATTAGTTGGGATGTTTGATTTATCGAAAGCGTGAACTATGTAGGTGTTATCTATTGTAAGCAAAATCACATTAAATAATTATGCATAATTTGAATATTATTTATTTTTATTGTTGCTGATTWGACGTATTTCTTCCGGTAAACACTTTTTTAAAATTGAAATTTTAAAAAATTCATAAAATAGAAACTTGAGAAAGTTGTACAAAAATTWACAACCCACCCATCATTCCGTGGG